AATTGTTACAAATACTCTTCTACAGACTTCAACAACAATGCTTCAAAGTTATCACCTAATCAAAATTTTGGTTTGTTTGCTGCACTGTTTTCATTTGACACCAAATCCATTGTTTCGCTTGTTAATTTGTCAGCTGCTCAGTTATTTATTTTTTTTGTCAACTGCTTCGTTTGTCGTGATTGCTACTTCTTTTGTTACTTCGTCAAATTTCTACGTCACCGTTAACGGTCAATTAATTAAATAAAGGGCGTGTGTACAGTATCTCGCGTAATAAAAATTATCATGATTTTCCCTTCAGTAAATTATTAATTTTTTTAAAAAGAAGGTAAAAAATTGGCACATCTGTTATAAAAATTTAAGTCTTTATCTTTACATCTTTTGGAACCTCCATACTAACTCTAATAATGTTGAATGTTTAGAGCAATCCCGGATCTAGAAGAAGAGAAATTGCTGTTCACCTGGCAATTGTACACCGTTTCTGTAAATTTATAACTATATATATAGTTAGAATCTTCTAAGTACCGTAATAATAAGTGAATGATATTGTCAAGTCCCATTTTTATCATCTTATTGCTCTCGTTCTTCCTCTTGTTAATGCTACTGTAATTTTCTTTCCACCTCTTACGTACCTGTATTGTCCCGATCATCTTGCCACATTACATAACCGGACTTACGATGGTAGCCGTTTACCTAGTGTAAGGGAGGGTCGGGTATTCTGGCGCGGGTGGGTATTGTGACGGACCTATGTTTTTTGATGATATTGTGCGATGTATTGATCAGAATCTAATAAATTTAACATCATTCGATTCGTTTTACTGAGACGAATCGAATGATACAAATTAATCAATTCTGATCAAAGGTGTAGTTATTATGGCTTTTTCTCTTTTTCCTCTTTGGGGTAGTTGCAGGAAGAGATCAGCAAAATACCAAATATAAAAAAGGATATCTTAACACAATATGAATATCGATATGCATGATGCGCCATAATACCTCCCGACTAAAAAAACATAACACTTTTTAGATAGATTTTGGAAATTTCAAATATCAAGTTTTTTTTTAAATATAAACTTTTTTCTTTAATTATTAGAAAATTGAATGTTATTTTATTTTGTAAACATATATGCTTTTTCTAAAAATTTTTGCTATTAGCAATCCTTAAGTGCACCATAATACCCGACCCTCCCTTATACGTCTTTTATTTCATCTCCAACAAATCATTATAATACGTACACTATCGCTATATACAAACTGCATGATTCCTTAATTGGAATTATGATTAACGTCTAAATTTATAAACAATACAACATTAACTTATAAATTGAATACTAAAACGTTTTTAATTTGATGAGAGCGTTGATTTTGAAATTAAATCATTTCTAAGAGCATTCGCATACTAGTGAAGAATTCACCAAATTTCAAGGACATCCTCCGCCATATAATCATGAGCTCACAATCTTTTCCATTCTATAGCAATAATAAATGGCTAGAAACTGATATCGCAGACGTAACAAACCCGCTTTATTCTCTAGCCAAAAATTCACGACTTCTAAAATTCATAATTACACAGCATGACAGAGAGTTAAAAGTAGACCTGATTCCCTGTAAAGAATTTTACTCGTTATTTGCACGTCTACAAAATATTATTAAAGATAAATTAGTCGATAATCATTTCAAATATTCATCTAACAGCAGTAAATCAGCATCACCAGAAAATACTAATATAAATTACCATAAAGGATATAGATTAATAGAAGGGTTAATCGAAAACATGATTCTAATACTTTATCATACACCAAGAGATTCACCGACAACACCACCAGAAAAGTGTACACGAAATATTTATTATCTTTATAGGGATTGGCCAGGTTTAGATGAGATC